CTCAGCGCAGCCACGGCACATCCACATGTCCCAGACACCACATGAGAGCCCCATCCCAAGGTCAGAGGCAGCCGCCTCCCCTCGCACCCTCTTACCTTCCCCGATGAACTTCTGCACCAGCTCGGAGCCCGAGACGCGGATGAAGGTGCAGTCGGTGTGGTGAGCCACAGCCCTGGCCAGCAAGGTCTTGCCCGTGCCGGGGGGTCCGTAGAGCAGCACGCCCTGAAACAGCCACACACAGCTCAGCACCCACAATGGGGATCCATTGGGAAAGGGCAGTGTCAGGAGGAAGGAGCCAGGCTCTGCTCTGGGATGGCCAATGCCAGGACAAGGGGCAATGGTCCCAAGCTGGAGCACAGGAGGTTCAAGCTGAACATGAGGACAAACTTTGTCAGTGTGAGGGTTATGGAGCATGGCCCAGGCTGCCCAGAGAGGTTGTGGAGTCTCCTTGTCTGCAGACACCCAAAGCCCTGGCCGTGTTCCTGTGTGACTGCTCTGGTGATCCTGCTCTGGCAGGGGTTGCACTGGGGGAGCTTTCCAGGGCCCTTCCAACTCCTGTGATTCTGTGACTCTGTGTGGTTCTGTGATCCACACCCCAACAGGAGACACAGGGACACCCCCCCAGGGTGACACAGCCACCACTGCAGCACTTGCCTTGGGCTGGGCGATCCCCAGCGCCTCAAAAAGCTCAGGGTGCTTGACAGGCAGCTCGATCACTTCCTTGATCTCCTTTATCTGCTTGTCCAAGCCCCCGATCATCTCGTAGGTGGAATCCGGAACCTTCTCCACCATCATCAGGGACACCAGAGGGTCCACTTTGTTGGGCAGGATCTTGTGCAGGGTGTAGCTGTCATTGCGCAGGGCCACGCGGCAGTTTGGGGTCACCTGCGGTGAGAGCGGAGGGGAGCTCAGCACCCCCCGTGGTGGGGAAGGGGGCAGGCAGGGCCAGGCTGCCTGGAGGTGGATGCTGCTTCCCCTCCCACAACCCCAGGACACTCACATCGTTAATGTCAATGTTCTTGTCCACATCCACCACGAATTTCCCCTCCGGGTGCACCTGGAAGGCAGCGGTTACCAGAGTTATCCATGTTATTTCTCTGAGGGGTGCCCCATATCCACACCAGCTGCTCGGAGCAGGAGGAAGAGCTGGAGAGCTCAGCCACCACCAAACACCTTGCAGTCCCCCCTTGCTCCCCAGAGGCCCTAAGCCAGCAGCCTCCCACCAGCCTGGGGAAGGTTTGGGTCCCAGAGAGCTGCCAAAACAGGCTCCTCTGCAGAGACAGCTCTCAATTCAGGTCTTTTAGCAGTTACACCCCTGCAAAGCTCTCACTCACACTTGTTCCAGCCCCCATGGGGTCAAAAGGGGGGGATCTGTCCGACCCCAGCCCCAGTCACCATCGGGACAGCTCGGCCTCCTACCTTGACGAGCACTTTCTTCTTGTCCATGGCTCTCACCACTTCTCCCACGTAGGAGCCCTGCTCCTGCAGCAGCTGCAGCTCCTCCCGCAGCAGCCGCACTGCAGAGAGGGAGACGTCAGCAGCAGCCCCAGGCACCCAGACCCCCTGCCCACGACAGAGGGGCAGCACTTGCCCAGCAAGAAGGACCAGCCCAGTCTCAGAGCCCTGGGCGAGGAAAACGAGAGGAGCTGAGCCGTACCTTTAGCGTTCAACTCATTTCTCTGCGCTTGCAGGCGCCGCAGGTTCTGGCTCTTCTCGTTCACGATGAGCTGTTGGGAGAAAAGCTGCGCTAAGCCCTCAGTGTCCCATGCATCAACCCAGCATGGACACCAGCACAGCGGCTTTTGCTCCAGGACAGGGACCTGGAGGGGGACAGCCCTTCCTAGCAGGACGTGGCCAGCCAAAAACCCCGCTGGGCAACACCTCACACATACACAGCAGAGATGCCAGCTCACAGGACTGAGCTTCATTTCACACACCCCAGCACCCACAGGTTGGGTCCTGCTTGCAGACACCACCCCGGGGCAGTGCATCCTCCAGAACAGGGCACCCACGGCGCAGAAAAGGCAAGCACGGGTGTAGGGATGTGGCCATGCTGCCCCAGCTGGAAGCACAGCGGTGCTGGTGTAGGGCAACTCCTGCCCAGGCAGGCCCTGCTCACCTGTAGCTCCTCGATCTTGGACAGGTAGTACTGCCGCAGCCCTGTGCCGCCTTTCCCGTCATCCATCTCCATCTGCGAGAGAGCAGAGCTCAGCAGCACCGGCCAAGGGCCGCCCACGCCACCCGGGGCCTCCAAAGCCACCTCTGCACCCGGTTAGGCTCCGTGCTGGTCCCCATTTCCCCCTGAGCCCTCCCCTCCGCGTTCCCTC